CAATGCCTTTGTGCTATATCATAATATATTATAATATTATAATATAGCATATCACAGATATATACTAGATATATTATAGATATTTACAAATATATATACTACAGATATATACTATATACAGATACATACAGTATATATACTATACCTGTAATATATATCTATGAAAAACTGTAATATCACAGATATATATACTACGTGTATATATATACATGTATATAAATATATACTATATTATAATGTTATATAGATAGATATAGTATATTATAATGTTGTAGGGAAATGTGAAGGAACTTGGCAAACTATAATGTTTCTGTCTATAAGTTGATCCAATGTATCTTGAGAAGGATTTGAGCCTGAAAATTCTGGTCAAGATAGAATCTGGGTTGACAAGTTGATCAAGTTCTAAGGCACCTTTCCACTGCTGCATTTCAAAATAGTTGCAGCTGTCTTTCCACATTTATATATTTTTCCACAGTAAAATTGAATGACTGAATTCTAATCATATAAATGTCTTTCTCTACACAGCATAAAACAGTATGCCAAAAGGTAAGGAAACGGAATGAGTTTTATAAAAATCGTACTTTAAAAATATTTGCTTTAGTTATGAGTTGCACCAAGTATGGAGCTATGTTTAACAAGGGTATATTCCCCCCTCCTGACAACTGACTAACTGCCATATGCAATATTAACTCAAATAAGTTCAAAGGATAGAGTGAAAAGGCAAAGCTGTAACACTCTGTAACAGTGTCTATGACCTCCAAAAGATGATTTATTAAAGAAAACCTAAAAGCTCAAACTGCAAGAAAAGATTAAAATATATTAGCTTGGCTATTAAAACTTATATGAAAATAAAGGATATGAAAGATGATATTTCTGGCACCTATAAGATAGAAAATATTAAATAATATTCATAATAAAAAAGATCCTTACAATTCACTAGAGGCAGAATATTCCAGCTTTTAAAATGAGGGAAAATCTTAATAGATTACTCACAGAAATAAAATCTGACCAGCCCACCAAAGACGTCCAAGCTTATTAGTAACCATGGAAATGGAAACTTAAACCATAATGATAGATCATTTATACTTACACTTCCCACAATGGGAACTTTTTAATGTTTATTTATTTTAGACCCAACCAATGGATAGACCAATTACTTGATAGTATTCTTAAGAATATGCACTAATCATAAAGCTGAGATCTGAGGATCACAGTTCAAGGTTAGCCCAGCAGAAAAGCCCATGAGACTTCCTAAAAAGCCAGAAGTGGAGCTGTGGCTTAAGTGGTAGAATGCTAACCTGGAGCACAAGAACTCAGGGACAGCACCCAGGCCCTAAGTTCAAGCCCCAGGACTGGCACACACACACACACACACACACACACACACACACACAGTGACAAAGGCCCCAAAGAGTAGCAAAGAAGAGTGAAGAAAAGACTCATTCAACGTAGTCATGATTTTCCACGCTGAATTGATGAAGAAATATGACAGTCACATTATCACATTTCATTTCTATACATTTTCCAAGAGATTTTTAGCATGCTCTTACTATCCACTCAAATTCCAGTCTAATTATTTCATCCAAGTGACTGGAATCTGTGAGATGTTGTTGACATTGTCTATGGTTCTAATATGGCGTGAATCTATTGAAAGGCCGGTCCTCAGTGGGGTGGGGTGGAGGAGGTGGGAGCTTTAGAACATAAGTTAAAGTGGAAGCTAATGAGGTTTTTTTTTTTATTGCTGTTCTTGGGGTTAATGAACATATGTCTCTCACATGGGTTAGTTCTTGTGAGAATGTATGATGGCAACATAAGGCTGCCCAACCAGGTTGGCCCCTTCTGCACATGGCCATTTCTCTTTGTGCTTCTCTGCCATTTTGGATGCATGTCATAGTGACCTCACCAGAGAAGGGATGAATGAATGTGCTCAGTCTTCAACTTCCAGCCTTCAAATTTGTGAGCTAATTAAAACCTTGTCTTTATAAAGTAACTCAGTCTTGGGTATTTTTGTTATATCCAAAGAAAACAGACCAAGACAATGTTGGGGTACTTGCCAACCTAGAAATCACTTGCCAGGGTTTGATGCTATGGGTTTTGTTGTTGTTGTTGTTGTTGTATGCTTAGCAATGTGATTCCAGTAATGTCAAGTCCCCTGTAAACTATCTAGGTACAGCTGTATGTAACATTTGTAATCTTATTCTTTCAGAATAAGACTTTTATTTGGGTAGCATACTGGCTCCTGACATCCCTGAAGCAAGAGATTTAAGCAAGTGACATACCTCAAAATTGTGTGTGTCAACTATGTTTATCATAGCATTAGTCACTATAGCTAAGAACCAACCCAGATGCCCCTCAGTAGATGAATGGATCAAGAAAATGTGGTGTGTGTGTGTATTTAATGGAATTCTATGATTCCACCAGAAAGAACAACACCGCCCCATTTGTTAGGAAATGGAAAGACTTGGAAAACATCATATTAAGTGAAGTAACGCAGTCCCAAAGAAATTTAGGTCCCATGGTTTCCCTTATTTGCAATAATTAGTATTCATATAGGATAATCTTATCAGATGAGATGAAAAGCTCAAAAGTCATGTGCCTATGACGTATAAGATGATGCTAAGTGAAATGAACTCCAGGATATGGACTCAAGAGGTCTGTCTCTATTGTTATGGTTTTAAATGTACCATGTGATTTCATTTTGTTGTTGTTGTTGTAGTTTCCTTTGTAGGTTCTTTCCCCTATGGGATATCCCCTATAGTCACTGTACTTCGATTTTGTATATACAATATGTCTAATCTGGGGAGGGGAAAGGGAATAACAAAATGCTGACAGGAGGACACAGGATGATCCATTGCAACAAGGATACCCACAGGACAGTATATTGGAAACAAACTTTACAACCTCAGTTGGAGAGGGGGGGAAGGGGGGATGGGGTAGGATGGGGAAGAATGTGGAAGGTGGAGGAGGGAAGGGATAGTAAGACAAAACCAAGGAAGGGATGGGAAAACAATGATCGACAAGTAATGTATTCCTTGCCTTATCATGTAACTGTAATGCATCTTTACAATAAAATCAAATTTTAAAAAAGTGTGTGTGTGTGTGTGTGTGTGTGTGTGTGTGTGTGTGTGTGTGTGTATGAAGGTAGCAGAAAGAAGTGAGCTCACAGGCAGAAGAGAAAATGGTGATAATTATGAAATGGTAAGTCTATTCCCATCTGGAGCCCCTAGAACTGTTGTTTGTATCCTCTCCTGGGTCAAGGAAGAAGGGAATCTGTTTAATTCATGGCAAAATCCGAAAACCTAAAGCAAATCCACTCACAGATGACTTGTGAGTTTGATGAATAAAATGGAATCATTTAGGAAATAATGCAATGGTATCCTTGAACCCAGATGTCTGGCTCTACACATGAGAGTTTTGAGCCGATGAGAACACGTGTGGACTTGCTATTTCCAGACCCATAAAAAGCAGGAAAGAACTAGTGCCCCTGTAATCTTACCTACTCAGGAGGCTAAGTTCTGAGGATGGAGGTCAGAAGCCAGCCCAGGCAGGAAAGCCCATGAAACTTTTATCTCCAATTGGCCACCAACAGGCCATATATGTTGGCTCAAATGGTAAAGTACTAGCCTTGAGCAAATAAGCTCAGGGGCAATGCCCAGGTCCTGAGTTCAAGCCCCATGACCAGCACCAAAAACACTAGTACCAAACATAAGGCCAATTTCAAGATTTGCAAATGAAATATCTAAGTGCTTCTAATCTGAACCTTTTTCTTCAAGGAATGGAAAAATGTTTTTTAATATCACCTGTTGGGAAAGATAAGTGTTAACCTGAGCATTCATACACATTACCCTTTGTGGTTACAAACTTGTATAACTACTTTGAGAAATAATTTGATACTTCTTGTGTGCACTTGTGTAATTCTACTACTTGTATAATTCTACTTTTACTTTTGTTTTATATACCAAGGAAGTAAATAAATTGAATAAGATACCAAGGTAATCAAATCAAATAAGTGATGAGGAAGAATTATTGTATGGAAAAATTCTAGCTAAAGTACAAGATAAATGATTGAAATTTTATGAAAACCAACTTTACTAAAATATTTAAGTAGCTTTCATGAATAAATGTAAAAATTATTGGGTAAAATCTGAGGTTACACCAATAAATTCTTTAGGCTGATTCTATTTGCGTATACTGATCAAAATGAGGAGATGTAAAATCGGAGCAATAGGGAATATTAGATCACATATTAAAATTTCCTATTTTGGGAAAACTTTATTTGTTCCAGTCATTTCACAGGAAATAAAGATATAAAGCTAGATTATAAAAAGACTTATGAGACTATCAGTCAAATTGAGGATGTAAGACACCTGAAAGATCTCGTATTTCAAACTAGAGAAACGAAGGTTTCTCTAAGAAACCTCAGTAGCTTATCCAGATGGCAGTGAAAGACTCTTTAATCCTAGCCACTCAGGAGGTTAATATCTGAGAATCACAGGTTGGAATTAGGGCAGCTAGACCAATCTGCAACATTCTTATCTCCAATTAACAGTAAGCAGCTGAAAGTAGAGGTGTGACTCAAGTGGTAGAGCGCCAGCCATCGAGCTCTGCTAGGCGCCCTGAATTCAAGCCACAGATACAGGAAAGAAAAACATTTAGAAGTAAAGAAAAACTAGAAATAGTATAGAAGGGAAAGAATTGTTATAAAGTGAAACAGATGAATAAGAAACTCTTATTTGGGTTTTGAGTGATCAACCATTTGAGACAACTAGTGAGAAATGAAAAAGGGAAAGTTAGTTATGAGATGACATTAAACCAAAGTTATTTTAGTTTGTTAGAGGGGGAAAATACATCTGTATTTATTGTCAAATTAATAATAAAAAACAGCTAATCATATTCTATTTCTACTACATAGCATTCTAGGTACAAAGTAGACTAAAACTTAAAAAAAAAAACCACCTTATTCTCTTTCCTTTAAGTTGCAAGGTTTGCGTATAGTTTACCTCAAATCTGTGGTCCTTGGAAGAAGTCTTTTTTTCCCGCTAAAGTAGACTTCGAAATCTTCATTCTTGAGTCTGTGGGCATAATCGATGTAACCCGATATCTCTTGCCCATGAGTATTTTTGTCACGAATGAAGATCACAGACTGCCGATTGCATAGAAGAACAAAGAATGGAGGGAGACAAAAGTCACGTTAGTACATTATATTTGATAATAAAAATTACAGCTATTGACAATTGTATTCATCAGGGCTATTTCCAATGACTTTGTTTTAACTTTACAATGATTCTGTCAGGTAGATACAACCATTTTTTCCTAGCAGGTAAAGAAACATAAAAATTAACTCAGTGTGCACATAAGATATATTTATAGTAATTTTATTCAGTAACACCAATAAATAACTTATACAACCCTTTCTAAGATGATACTGTTTGGAATAGATTTATTTAGTTTCTTTGTGTGCAAATCCTGGGGCTTGAACTCAGGGCCTCAGCACTGTCCCTGAACAATTTTGCTCAAGGTTTGCACTCTACAATTTGTGCCATTTGTACAGTCCAATTCTGGCTTTTTAATGGCTAACTGGAGATCAGTTTCATAGACTTTCTTGACTGGGCTGGTTTCAAACTGTGATCTTCAAATATTAGCCTCTTGAGTAGTTAGAATTACAGGTATAAGCCACCGGCACTCCATTTGTCTTCTTTTTGATCATCAGTTTCTCCATGTGGAATGTTGAGTCAGTCAGTCTCACAACTAGTAAGTGGCAAACCGGAAATTCAAACCGAGGCTTGTATTTGTTGTCCTATTGCGTTCTTCTTCCAATTGAACCATTGTATATTTTCCCTAATAGAGTTACATGTAGAGTACCTTCATCTCACTATTACGAGAATCAAATGTCCTTTACAAAACTCCACAAATAAAAATTAGGATAATTGTATCCTTCAAAATATTTCTCATTCATAGTAATTACTTTACAAATATCATTAAACACCTCCTGCATTTTCTGGCATTTTTGTGAAATAATGCAGTAATAACCAATACTGCTAAATTCCAGAGCCCCAGAACTTATGGCCTGGTGGAAAGACATAGACAACATATGTAAAACAATGAGTATTCCCCATGAATGAAAGCTGTGAGAAAGCAGTGGAGAAAGTGATTAGCTACAGAATAAATTGATAGTAAACATTTATTTATTTATTTATATTTGTCAATTCTGAGGCTTGAACTGTAGGCCTGGACAATGTCCTTCAGCTTTATTTTTTTTATAAATTGTGAGAATACTGTACAGAGGAGTTACAATTATAAGAGCAAGAGTACATTTCTTATCAAGCGTTGTAGCCTCCTCCTTTGTTTCCCCTTCCCATCCCTTCCCAACTGCCCCTCCCCAATCCCCCCACCCCCACTCTTGCGTCAAAGTTGTAAAGTTTGGTTTTCCACATGACTCTTGTACATCTCATTGTTGCAATGGGTCCACCTATATCCCTATTTAAACAATTTGTTTTTCCCTTCCCCTCCACAAATTAACATCAAATACAGTGAAAACAGGGGTTATACCATGGGGGAGGGACATACAAAGCAACAAGGAAATAATCTTATAAATATGTTAGAAACAATAGCAAGAAAGAAAAACCATTTGAATCCTTCTCTTGGGGTTCATTTTGCCTAACATCAACTTATCTGAATGTTTCTGCTTGTCTCAGACATATATTAGTTATGGAAAATAAGGGAAACCATGGGACCTATGTTTCTTTGGGCCTGGCTTAGTTCACTTAATATAACTTTTTCCAAGTCTTTCCATTTCCTAACAAATGGGGCAAGGTCATTCTTTCTGATGGAGGCATAGAATTCCATTGTGTACATATTCTTGATCCATATTCTTGTACATTTTCTTGATCCATTCATTTACTGAGGGGCATCTGGGTTGGTTCCATATCTTAGCTATGGTGAATAATGCTGCAATAAACATAGTTGTGCTGGTAGCTTTAGTATATGGTCTTGTTTGTGATCATTTGGGTAAATGCCCAAAAGTGGGATTGCTGGGTCATAGGGGAGCTCTATGTGGAGTCTTTTGAGGATCCTCCATACTACTTTCCAAAGTGGCTGAACAAGTTTACACTCCCACCAACAATGCTAGGCTAGTACTCTACCACTTGAGCCACAGAGCTAGTTTCTGCTTTTTGTGTGACTTAATTGGAGATAAAGAGTCTCACAGACTTTCTACCCTAGGCTGGCTTTCAACCGAGATCCTCAGATCTCTGCCTACTAAGTAGCTAGGGATTACATGAGCCTGCAGTGCCCATATGTAAAGTGCTAATTTAGGCATTAAGAAAAGACCTCAAATGGTCAAGACTGTAGGAATGAGCAGAATAGGAGGCTCATGAAAACGGCTTAGGTAGGACAAAGAAGGAAAGAGGCAACAAGGAAACATATTTGGGAGAAATGCCATTTATCTCAAGTTCTAAGGAAAACAAAAACAAAACCAATAAATAACCTCAAACAGGAAATGTTAATATACGTATTTTCAAGTAGAGATCGAATTTTAGAACTTCATATTCTATATTTAAGAGAACCCCTGAGACTTTCTTTTTCTCTCCAGCAATCACTGGATCGTTACTTGTTTAGTGTTTGGGGCTTTCAAATAAGAAGCCCTGATACGGGTGACTAAATGGCAGAGCTTCCAAAAGACTGAAGTTGGGAATTTGAGGGGATTCAGTTTTTTCCCACACTGAATCTAAGAAGACATGTTGCTAACAATATCTTAATTGAACAAACAGTGATGTAACAGACACAATTTCTAATGTGTGGTTATGTTACCAACATGTTTCATATTGCCTGTCAGTTTGACTCTAGGTGTGGCAAATACTGTACTGAGAAGGATTCCAAGATAGCTTCTTGTTTTAAATGGACAAAATACAGTGGGTTAACTATAAATCCCATAGACATGGCAGGAGGAGGAACAAATATTTCTTAGTCCTCTGTTGATTCTTTTTTTTTTTTTTCCCCTGGGGTCCTGTCGTGGAGCTTGAACTGTGGGCCTGGGCGCTGTCCCTCAGCTCTTCAGCTCAAGGCTAGCGATCTACCACTTGAGCTACAGCGCCACTTCCTGTTTTTTTCTTTTTGCTTATGTGGTGCTGAGGAATTGAACCCAGGGCCTCATGCATGCAAGGCAAGCGCTCTACCACTGAGCCACCTTCCCAGCCCCTGTGTTGCATCTTATATAGACTTCAATTCTCAGTCCTCATTATTCCCACATATCTCCATGTCATTAAATTCAAAGAGATTTCAATGTTCAGTTTCTGCAGCACAAATTCTTATTTATTTACTTATTTATTGTGAAAATACTGTACAGAGGGGTTACAATTACATGGGCAAGATAATGAGTACATTTCTTATCAAGCATTGTTGCCTCCTCCTTTGTTTCCCCTTCCCATCCCTTCCCACCATCCCCTCCCCCACCCAATCCTCCTCCCCACCAAAGTTGTAAAGTTCGTTTTTAGACATAACAACTTGTACGTCTCATTGTTGCAATGGGTCCACCTGTATCCCTATTTAAACAATTTGTTTTTTTCCCTTCCCCTCCACAAATTATACCGACATCAAATACAGTGAAAGCAGGGGTTATACCGTGGGGGAGGGACATACAAAGCAACAAAGAATCTTATAAATGTGTAGCACAAATTCTAAGTGAACAGTAATTCATGGAACTTTATTTTCTTTAATTTTGGCAACACAGAGATTTAAACTAAGGAACTCAAATTTGCTTGGTTTTCTGCCTTTGAACCAAGCCTCCAGTCCATGAAGAAGTACTGCTTATTGATTTTTCATAGATTAGTCAGTGCCAAGCTGGTTGGGAAAGTATATGAGGCTCTTAACAAATTCTTTGTTTAAATTCCTAACACTAGCTTAACATTGACTGTCTCTATCATTATCTTCTAGATTAAGCAGATAATCAGTGCATTGATATAAACATATAAATAAAATTTAACATAGGTTTTTAAAAGAATTGGAGAAGACAAGCCTGAATGCTTTGTGTTAATCTTAAGAAAGTAAATAAGCATATTTACTCTTGAATGTTCTTATGAAAAAAATGTCTGATAAACTTAGATTACATATGTTCCATTGGCTTCACTATCATGTTATTATATATATATACCTGTGTGTGTGCGTGTGTGTGTGTGTGTACACACACGCGTCGCGCGCGCGCACACGTGCACATGTGTTTGAAAACCTTCATGGCAGTTAACCTCCCTTTACATGGAGATCTGTATTTCCAAATTTACTTTCCCACCCTTTTTAGACTTCAGTGTCTGCCGTGTGGTTTTTGTGAATCTTGAGCCTTTCTAACTAGAAAAGCTCAAGTGAGGCTCAATTGGATGTAAATATCGAGTCCTTCTAAGTTTACTGAATATTTTGGGGCAAGTCACTCAGAGTCACAAGGCTGCTTCTGTATTTGCAAGTCTGATACTTCTGAGCAGGCTTCTGAAAAATCTAGAAAGTGTCTGTGATAAACAAAACTAAACCAAACAAACCACCAAAATCCTGCATTTCCTTAGTTCAGTCACCTAGCAAATCGCTCTTCATTTTGTTTTTTGTTTTGTTTTTTCAGCAAAGAGGTAGAGAAACAGCATGATTCCATTCTTCAGTTTGCCTGGCACTGTTCAACTCATATTTTGGTATTCACATCCTAAAAGTGAAATTGTAAGCACCATACCAATCCAATATCCCAGTACTGTGTTATTTTTTAATGGAAATTCTCATGGCTAAGTGAGAATTTCTTTAATTTCTACAATTTCTTTATATATATATATATATATATATATATATAGTAAAAGTGTTGTACAGAGGGGTTACAGTTGCATGAGTAGGTTAATGAGTACCTTTCACAGCAAGCATTGTTACCTCTTCCTTTGTTTTCCTCCTACCATCATTTCCCTCCCCACCTCCCCAACTCCTCCTGCCCCACCACCCCTACAATTTCTTTTATTTCAAGATGAGAAAACACTCAATTCCCTTTCATACAAATCTGCTCAAGGTAGATAAAAATTCCTGTGTTCTTATCTTTTCTAGAATGGTCATATACATGCAAAAATAAATTTAAAGGGTGTTTTAATTAAATAAAATATATTTGTTAAGAATACCTTCTCCATG